AATGGGTGGCTTAGGCACGAAAGGATTATTTCGGTAGTGTTGATACTGGGCATCATATAGCATAATTTCAAAATATTCAAATTGCGCCAAGATGCAGATTTTTGAATGCACACTTTTCAGTCATCAACAAGGAGAGTAGTCATCAGAGACCGCCTCATTATGTAGGATTCATGGGTTTTCGATGCACTTATAAATCCAAATACATCTGATGCAAAACAGGATTGAAAATACGCTTTCGTGTCGAAAGTCACGCCTTCTTCACGTTTTGAGACTCGGTAATAGCATCTTGCGTTTCTGAAAAAAATCGCGGCTATTAAACATAATGCCGTGACCTCTGCATCCTCGTTAATAGTCTTTAGGAAATTCACGATCTAGCCTTCATCCACTGCAAAATTTTATGGATCCCGTATGACGCCTTCTTAGTGGCACAGAGGAATATGATTTTCCTTGCTTGGAGGGTGCACAGCTTCCGGGATGTAGACCGTAGACAATGACCGACCGAGTTCAAAATTATTAGGGAGCTGAAACACGTCTGGCAAGCAGAATGAACTGACAAACTGTTTGCTGATAAAATTTAGAGCAAACGAAATGCTATATTCCTAGACTGCCAGAAGCAGACAGAAGTATATAGTGTTGGCTGAAATTCTGAAATATGTTCTCGATTGGGAAGAATTACTTAGGCGTCGTTGTAATACTGGTTATCGTTATCCTATAATATTTTGGACTCGGCAGGACGTCAACTGTTGAATACGCTGTCTTTTTAATCTCCTGTAGAAAACGAGCTCGGTAAAGCCGTCCACTTAAGTAGCGTGCATTTTTCACATAGATTTCCGATGGCCTTAAAAATTCAAATATATTTTACAGAGAGCACAAACAAAACTATTTTTTCTTTCAGTCGTTTGATAGACTATCACATCATCTTTAAATTTTATACTGGAAGAAGTAGTGTAATTAGGTTTTAAAAACGTTTTTTAATGCCTGAATAAGTTGGAGCCAGATCAGTCGTTTTATCAGCGCTTAGTGGTTACAGCCCACAGGGTGCATGCGTTCTGCGTAAAGAAAATCACATATTCTTCTTTGATTTTAAAAAGATGTCATAGACGAGGACCATGTTGTACATTTCATGAGTAGCAGTGGTAAACAGACAGGTACGATGCTGTATGAATGGGCATTACACGGTCTTAAAAAATCTCATAATTAGAAACTTTTTCAAACCCCAATTACACTACGTCTTCGAGTATAACATATAAAGATGTCGCGATTATCCATCAAAAGACTGAAAGGAAAAATATTTTTGTTTGCGGTCTCCGTAAAATATATTTGAGTTTGTAAGACCACTGAAAATCCATGTGAAAAATACACGTTACTTAAGTAGTCGTTTTTACCAAGATAAGTTGTTAAAGGAGATTATAAAGGCTGTGTATTCAAAAGTAGACATCCTGCCGAATCCGAAATTTTACACGATTATGTCGCAAGTGAATCAGTATAACAACCACGCCTAAGTAATCCTTCCCAATCGAAAACACATTTCCGAATGTCAGCCAACATTTCATGGGAACGGTCACTCAGTGTGTACTCAGATACCATTATTTACCATAATTTACAGCAGAAGTACTGGGCCTTTTGGTTAGTACCTGTGCTGTAAGTATGGTATCACCTTACCCTAAAGTATAATACCAGCTACCTGTCGACAGTTAATATCACTCAGTTACTCGCTGTGGCTGATGGACTTCGGCACAAATATTCATACATAAAAATCTCGATTTGAGTCTATAAACCACGAATATACTAATCTAAACCAAGTTTGTAGTTAATTTCTGAGGAAATTATAAAACGAAAATTTATTAATTAGAGTATGATTCAGTATGTATGAGGGATCTAGGCAGAACCTTGGAAAACCCTATTTACAGATAGACGTATGAAAAGAAAACATGCAGATAGTTACATGGCAGTTATGCCAGTCATTGATATCGTGTAAATGTTTGACATCAACCATAAATTTATCTAGTCATTTTTGAAGGTCTCAACGTTTTCCGCTAAGACAACGGAGTTCGGCAATTTGTTCCATCCTTCAACCAGTCGGTAGGAGAAGAATTTGGCCCGCAATTCGAGTTTGACATCTTTCAGCTTCAATTTGTATAGGTGCCCTCGAAGATTGGTCGTCCGCGACAGTTCGAAGAAGTCGTTAAACTGAAGAGCAATGTCTACCCCTCGGACGATCCTGAAGGTCATGCTCATATCCCCTCTCTATTGTCTATAAGAGAGAGAAAATAATTTAAGCTTTTCCAGGTGTCTCTCATGAGGTAAGCCACTTCATCCGTCGACTTGCTTGGCCGCTCTTCGTAGTACGTTCTTCAGTAGGGTGTAATTTTCTTTCGTCCAGAGACACCATGCCTGAGCACAATATTCCAACATTAGTCGAACGTATGCCCCAAATACTCGTCCGAAAGGTTCTTCGTCATAATTGAGGAAGGATCTTCTAATCGCGCCTAGGATACCCATAGTTTTCATTGATACCTTGGCGCAGTGAGACGATGGTTTGAGAGTTGACGTCATCCACACACCGAGATCTCTTAACTTTTTGACTGATTCAAGTTTCTGACCTCCTATAAAGTGGTGAGATCCAAATCTCAACGGCCCCCTGTTGCTCGATCTTAATCCGATAAGTTGGCATTTGTTACGATTGAGGCTAAGGCACTACTCAACCGCTTTCGGGTCAGGTGTTTGTGCAGCATTCCAATTCACCTTCTGTAGCAAATTTTTCATTCGGGGATAATCCCCTTCCCATACACTTCTTTCCTCAGCAGCTCGAAATTCGGGGGCGGAAAAATGACTTTACTCCCAAGCAAGAACGCAATGGTCACGTCGGCTAAGGGGCGTGTGCGATTCCAACCCGAGAGCGCAACTATCATCCCTAGTGATGATGAGGTTTAAACAACTGGACTGCTGTCCCTCTCTGAATCGAGTGTTCACTGTAACATGTTGGATAAGGAACTCATTTGTGATCAATTGAATACATTTCTGTTCCAGGGAGTTTTCTGATCGCGTGCAAGGCATCAAATCCCACCCGATGTCTGGACAATTGAAATTACCAAGTAGCATTATGTGTTTGCTTTGACAAATGTCTATCGCGACGATGAGTGCCTCTTCCGCACCCGTCCGCTGGCCTGGCGGTCTGTAAACCAGGGCACATTCAAGTAACAACTGAGTATTTCACAATCAATGTGCCGAAACGGGGAAGACTCGACTCTGGAAAGTCGATGCCATCTCGTATAAATATCGCAATTCCCCCACCCCTTCGTTTGTTTCGGTCATTCGGAGAAGCTTAAAACCATCTAGCATGACTTTCGCGTCCTTTATCTGCGTATTTAACCATTTTTTCTGTTAAAGCTTTCAAGTCGGGTTGGAAGTGGGCCACGGTGAGTTTTATTTTGTCCAATTTGTTGAATAAACTCTGCACATTTGTGTACATCATTTTTATATTAATCTGTTGTTCAAATTTCAGGAAATTGTTTGCCAGTGCTTTCGATTGATAGTTACAACTGCATATTTCACATGGCGCACCGGACCCACGAGTCGATTCTGAATTTGCTGAAGTTTGTCGAAACCGGGCGTCGGTACTTTTACCGTCAATGTCACCGGCGGATTCCCCATAAAAGAACGCTCTATTTTCATAATTTGGTTGTTTATTGTTTTCAGATTTAGAAAAGAGACGGGGGATGCTGGGAGACCCACTGACGAGCCGAACCCCTCGCAGCTGCGCCATGCAACGGCAAAATATTAGCGAAACACGTGTGTATGGGCTTTTGGTTAGTACCTGCACTGTTAGTATGGTATCCCATCACACTCAATTATTTGCATTAAATTTCGGCCTGAGATTATAAAACCTCATTTGGAGTAACTTTTACCAATCTTGCGAATTAATTTCTGCGCAGATAACGGAAGGGAATTTATATTGAGATTAGCGTGACTTTTGCCTTCTGACCGCTTTCCTTGTCTTAATTCTTCTTACAACTTTTCATAGAAAGTTCAATGTGCGCGTCAAGATCAAACAAACCGTAACGGGTTAAATTGTTCGAGGGCATTTTATTTTATCAAATAGGTTGTGGTCTTATTTGATTGGTAGGTAATCAAGATTGTTCGGACGGTGTGAAGATCTGTCGGTTCCATTACACTGCCCATACACTGGGAATTACCACGCGGTTCCCTCTGTAGCCTTCCAGCTGTGATTACACCCTTCTTGTCCTCTCGATCCAACGTGTGGCTGCGTTCGGGGGCAACCTTCACTCGCTTCCCTGCCCGTCCTCCGAGCTCTGCTTGCGCCATCTTTCCTTCCTAATCTAGCAAGTGGCTAAATTATGTATGCTTACTAAACTTGTTTTAAGAAGCTAACCAAGTGTTATCACTCAGAACCGAACTCCGCGCCGTTCATTGCCACAACATAATGTGACTGAGTGGTCTGCATTAAGCTAGAACTTGCACATACCATGGGCGGCGGGAATGTAACTGCTTACGGCGTTCTGCATATGCTTGTAGCTTGAAACGGTGGTAAATTCTGAGTAAGCGTAGGGAAATGTGTTATTTGCCGGCCTTATTTTCCGCACACATATGAGCTACCTTTGAGAGGATCTCTGGTTGTGAGTTTATGCGTTCGATGTTCTCTGGCGGAGTCATTCTTGGTCACTTTATTGTTCTTGTGGTGAATTCACTGAAGTTGGTCGATTCGTTTGAAGCCTTCTTTGTGAAAAATATCATAATTCATTCTGACTTCAACTTGGCACGACTTCACAGCCTGCAGTAATTTAGAAGTACACATCAAACGCAATTGCCGCAGATGTGCCCGCCAGCCCGCCTAGACTTTTCCGATTTTGACAAGCTGGGCAGGCATCGTAAGAAAAAATATTATTGCGCAATGTTTTGTTTTTGAAAAGAATCTGCGCTTTATATTGGAAATCCGACTTCGCGACTCAGAACACACTTCGAGCGTTTGACATCCAGATATGGGGATCCAGCTTGCCAGAACCATTTTCTGCTTTCTGCTGGTGACGGTCATCAAAGGTCTGTGCAATTTTATATGCGATCTTGACCGTGTAATATTCGCGTCTTCCTCAGCGTGCATTTAAAATAAAAATATCTATTTCTGAAACCCGCACTAACGAGTCGATGTGTGTTTAATACTTTTTTTCTTACCTTTTTTACCGGGCACTTTTTTGTTCCAAGTAGCATAATGCTTGACAAATAAGAGCTTCTTCTTCTTCTTCTTCTTCTTCTTCTTCTTCTTCTTCTCGATTTTGGCTTTAGCCGCGCACCTTGTTCACCTTAGCGTGAAGTTGCCCGCTTGCTCGATAGGCGTGGTCGCGCTGGACACAAATGCGCGGCTTGAGCGAAATTTTTACTTTGCAGTTTTTGTGAGCCCCACAGATGTATTTGTTTGCGTGCATATATTCTGAATTATGACGCCGGTAAAGACAAATTTAGTAAATGTCCAGAGGGAAGCTCTTCGTACATCTGTCTATTGTTTTTTAAAAACCAGCTTTGCTGAATGAGATAACTATGCAGGGTTATCACGTAAACCAGGACTCAGGATTAAGAGCGGCTCTTCTTACCTCTGGTATTCTCATATAAAGTCTTTACTTCATAGAGTGCGTAACCGAATACTTCTGGGGCGCACAGTCAGCGGTCTGTACATTTGAACATTTCTATCCTTGTTAAACTACAGTGCTTTCTTTGCTGCCTTCTAATTTCCTCAGTAATTATTTACGATGTTGAAGTAGATCAGTTTATTCAAGGTCTATAGGCTCAGACCGAGAATTTCATGCATAAATATTTGGGCAAAAACCATCCTCCACAGCAGGTAACCGCGTAATATTCATTAACTGCCCACAGGCAGTTAGCAGTATACCATACTAACAGCACAGGTACTAGCCAAAAGCTCATACACGCGTGTTTCGCCAATATTCTGCCACTGCATGGCACAGCTACGAGGAAGTCGATTCATCAGTGCGTCGTCCTAACCGGCGGTTGGTAGTTAATGAATATTACGCAGCTACCCTCTGTGGCTGATGGACGTCCGACCAAATATTGACACATAAAACTTAGGTTTGAGACCATAGACCTAAAAAATATTGACCAACCCCGATTTCGCAGCTAATTTTTGAGGAAACTAAAAAGCTACAATCTCGTAATTGGTGTGCCTACCAAAAAAACAGACGGAGAATGCTGGGGGACCAAGTAACTAGTCGAATCCCTCGAAGCTGCGTCAGGCAGCCGCAGAATAACGGCGAAATACGCGTGTATGGGCTTTTGGCTAGTATCTACGCAGTTGGTATGGTATCCACTTACTCTAAATTACTTTCTTTGCCCCTATGTGAATTCTAAATTTCGAGATTTCTGTTTAACCAGTTTTCATTGGGTTCAAAACTAAGGATTCCAACTCCAGTTCTTATAATTCTCATCATGTGAGGAAATAAAAAATTACATTCAGACTGCAGTGCGCGACCGAACCACGCGCCGTTTAGGGGGCTATCTGCGTAGTTTGGTTGTGGTGAACGACTCAGATAAATAGCAGCCTCCCAGGCCTTGGATGATACGGAGCGTCAGCATAGGGTTCCTTATCATTTGCCTAAGACGAAATATTTTTGTTTTGAAAAAACCCAGTCCTTGAAGGCTATTGGTCCTTTAGGAGAGTATTGATGACTTTCATATTCCAAGGCCTCCATGCCTCCACAGCGTAATCCAGTTGTGGCCACACAGACGTTCTTCGTACTTAAATAAAGCTTTATTCGCCAAAGCTGGCAACGGCGCGCTCGATGAATAACAGCGTCGGCATCATGGGACATGTGACCTTTGCACAGTGTGGCGATTGGTTCTAATCCATCAGCCGAACCCCTTTTCCGCTCCCATCTCCTAGACTAGTGTAAAATTGAAGGATTGTGTCCTGTTGTTCAAAATCCGAAGTTTTCCTTTCCGATAGAAGGGGCATTTGCCACATCTAAGGCTTGAGGCCACCTTATCAAACACTGCCTGAGCTGACCTAGACCTGTTGACAATTATTCTTTATCGGTTTTATTTAAGAGTGCGCTAAACCTAAGCGTCATCTGCGAACATAATAACACACCGGAAGCATTCATCGATGAACAGGACAAAACAAATAGAGGAAGGACTCTCACTTCCGTTGCTTGGTGACCAACAAATATATTTTCCTCCTACCTTTAGGGGGTTTTCCCTCACACCAACGCGGTGTAGGCTCTGCAGAAGACGCTACTGTGGTTAGAGCGTGCGGAATCGTTGCCGCATATCAGAAAGATGCCGTCGCTCAAAGAATTACATTAATTCGCATTTGAAAACTTTTTGCTTTATCTATCGGAACTTTATCTACCCTTTATTGATCGGCGGTCATTTTGGCCATTTTGCGTTACAATCAACTTAAAGAACTTAGGCAGGAAACTAAAAAGTTACAATTTCTAAATTGGTGTGCCTACCAAAAACAGACGGAGCCTTAGTCGTCTTCCTTGTATCCGCCTTTAACGTAGGAGTCTGGCCCAAATAATCACCTTAAGACAATCAGAACCGCAACCCCACCAAAGTAATTCCTTCTGACCGAAAACGCATTTCAGAATTTCGGTTAACACTTCATGAGACCGGCTACTGACTGTAGTTGTTCCTGAAATTAATGCTCCTGTCGACGTGATAGTTTTACCATAGCTCTTGCTCGTAGTCTACTTTCCTCGGAAGCCTCGTCTTTAGACGTTAAAACCAGCTGATTATCTTTGTTTTCGAGTTGGAACAGCTTTTGTTGATAGTCTCGTGAAGGAAAGCTGAAAATTCCAGTCAGTCGTCGACTACACATGCGGAGAATCTGGACGTTCAGTATTTTGTAATTATTTACGTACTAACAACACAGGTATTAGCTAAACGCCAGCAAGTACGGTAAATAATTGCTCAATTCCATACTACTGGCTGCCTGTTGGCGGTTTGGGAATACTACGCGCTTATTTCGCAGCAGCTCGAAAATTCATATCAGATTTCGGACCTTGCCTGCAATGCTCTGTTCCGAAAGATTTACTCCGGGTTCGCTCGCTAAATTCCTCGGAAATTTAACACGGCAAGTAGACATTCAGTTCTTCGTTTTTTCTGACCCTGGTGGTGCGGTCAGATACGGAGGAAAGTGAATACTCTCACTATAGGGTTACGAAACTACTTATGCCGTGAAACGGCTGCCGTGCGCTTCTGTCACAAAAGATCCAAACAGTCGTCACGGAGTTGACGATAGGACGTCTTGGAAGGGAGATGGGTTTTTGTTTCGTGCGAGAAGGTGGGCTAACTCATGAAAAGTCTCACAATCAGGAACTTTTTAAAATCAAATTATGTCCGTCCTTTAAGTATAAAATTGAAAGAAGACGTATTTGTCTATCGAACGAACAAAAGAATCAATGTGTTTATGCATGTTTTCCATGAAATAGGATTGCACTTTTAGGGATATCGAAAATCAATGAGGAAAGTGCATGCTGCTTGGGTGGTCATTTTTTACAGAGTGTAGTTCCCAGATGCAGTCGAAAGGAAGAGTATTTGAAAGCCAGCAGCCTGAGGTAACTGAATTATTATTTAATAATACCGCAGACCGATTAGTTTTACAAGCCTACTAAATTATTATTTTGAAAACGAAAACGCATTTTGGAATTTCGGTTGACATTTCATGAGTTAGCCCACCTACTGTAAGTAGCATGCATTTTTCTCATTTATTTTCGATGCATCTAAAAATTCAGTAGTTTTGCATGGGAAGCATGCATAAAAAAATATTCATTCCTTTGTATTTCGGTAGAAAATTGCGTCTTCTTCCAATTTTTTGCTCAAAAAATTCTATAAATCGGTTTATAAAAACTTTTTCAATTCCCGAATAATTTTGAACCCGACTCGGCGTTACACTTGCATGCAGGGTTTCCAAACTACAAACCGTATATTTTTTGCGTACAAAAAATCATACATTTCTCTAGAGTATTAAGAGGAGACTGTGCTAGGTTCCCAAAATTAAGCAGCGGATTTGGTCCCGATTATAAACTTTCCAAACGGCCTTAGTAAATGTAAAGACACAATATTTTATGAACGGGCATTTCACGGCATTAAAAAATCTCACAATTAAAAACTTTTTCAAACCCGACTTTTAACTTTTGTTCTAGCATATAATTGGTCTAAGACGTAATCTTCTACCGATTGAGCAAAAAATGAATATTCTTACGCATGTTTCCCATGAAATACAATTGCATTTTAGGACATTGAAAATCAATGAGAAAAATGCATGCTTCTTATGGTGTCATTTTTTAAAATCCATGGTTGCTACATGCAGCCGAAAAGAAGTTCGTTCGAAAGCTGACATCCTGGGAAAACTGAATGATTATTGAATTATATTGCAGACCAATTAGTTTTACAACCATACTCAATTAATCTTTCGAAAACGAAGACACATTTCGTAATTTCGGTTTACATTTAATGAGTTTGCCCACTTACTGTAAGTTTACTTCTATGTCTTGCGCAGTAATCAGATTTCAGAGCGATAAAGGAACTCATGATCAGGACGCTAAATCGGTTATTTGACTACAGGAGCACCTGCTGATTTTAGTTTATTTTGGCTTGCAGTTAGTCTTTTTTCTTCCTGAGGTTTTCCGGCTGAACACCGATTGCTGCCGCACAATCAAAATGCCGCGAAAATTGTTTATAAAAGTACTTTTACTCACGCACATGTAAAACAAGTTTTAATTTGGCAAATCAAAGCTGTGGAGATTGAGCCTGGCTTTCCAACTGACTGTGGGCTACCGACTGTCCAACGCGAGGACAAAGAGGAGGCCGAGGGTATGAAGGTCCGCGCAACACCTCACAGCTGGCCCTGGCATGTAAGCAAATGTTTAATGTGCCCTTAATACGGCAATGGTAAGGGGTTGCAAAAAAATTGTGCAACATAAACAAACCCCTAATCCTCCTTCCACAGCTCCATAACAGAAGTAATGATGCATCATACAATAATTCTGGCGATTTGAAGGCCAATATTACCTTTTGGACCCTTCAACGAAACTAAAGCTTAATTTGTACCATTTCAAACGAAAGCTTTTTCCCTGAAATTAAACAGAAGACGTTGAGAAGTTTTATTACATCACCACCAATTGGAAATGCAAACAAGTAGATGATTGTACAAATAAACACCAGTCAGACCACGCTGTTTCATTACTTTAAACCAGTTAAAAATGCAAATCTCGTAGAAGTGCCACGTATTTTGGCTCGCCTCTTCGAATAAGTGCATGGTTATACACGCAGATTTCTGTCGGCCCACTCTGTGCATTTAACAGACATTTAAATTTTCAGCACAGGATAAGCGGCTCTTATCTAGATTTGGAGGCGACTTAGTATACATAACGACAGCTTGACGAAACAGCCTACACTATTCTGCGTACTGACAGACCTGTAGCGGCTAAGCGGTGATGGTGTACGCTCAGTACGCCACAACTTCAGGCCATATCCCAAGTTGTTAGAAGCAGGACGCCATTTGGTAAGGACACTTTATCCTGTACAAAATAGTGAAGGGGAAGTTGGCAACCGGACGAGGATGCATCCGGCGCCGCGGAGGCGGCGTCCGCGAGAGCGACGAGCCCAGTGTCGCCGAAGGTCGCCGCTGCAGATTTTTTACGCTAGTGGTCTGGCTGTGTCCGCCATTGTACCAATCAGCAAGATGATTTGTGTTGATTGGCTCAGAGCCCACGCGAAGGTACTGACACGCCTCGCATGGTGCAGGCAGAAAATCGACCAGGTGCGTGGTGCATACAGTGAATTGCAACGAGACAAATCGAAGCCGGGCAGACGTGCGTGCCATAGCAGGCTGTCGCTGGGACGTAAGTGCAGGCGCTAGCGAGAGGCGCGACGTAGCCATTATGGCTGTCCACTACAGATCCATTGTTTGGCCAATAATGGAGATCATAAATTTGAATCAAAAATGAATCATTGCGCCTCAAAACTGGCGACACATGTGGCCGGCAGGAAACGGGTATAGATTAAAAAACCGGACAAGGTTCGGATACGTTGCCCCGATCCCAAGATTACGTGCATGATGGACATTCAAAGTAATGAAAGCCAAGGGAGAAGTTTAAATCGTTAGTACGGAAAGTATCCGAGGCGGAAATGGAAAGGCAACCTGCTGTATGACAAATTTGCCTCGAGATTGATGGAAGCCTAGAATTCCGGCATTAGACCTGGCTGACAGGACACGCGGAGCGGCATTACCGCAAACCTAACGATAACCTCAAAAGCAAACGTAATCATTAACGAAATTATAAACCTAACACAAGCCCTTAAATAAACACTTAACCAGACTCTAAGGCTAGCACAAACCCTAGACTTAAATCTAAGCCTAACCCCTATACTTACTTAGATCCTGACCCTAACTCAAACCCTAACCCTAACCACAACCCTAACCCTAACCCCAACCTTGAAACTAAACGTAAACCTAAACCGACATTCAAACCCTAGCTCTAATTAGAACCCTTAAACTTAACAGAAACTCTAAGCCTAGACTCAATTCTTAGCCTGACACTAACTCAAACCCTAAAACTAACCATGCTTCTAAACCGAAACTTCAGTTTAACATTTTCCGTTGTAGCTTCGGGTACCTTTCCACTAACGATTAGAGCATTTTCCTTCAGCTAACTTTACTTTCACTGCCCACGTTGCACCAGGACAGGGTGATCGATCCCTATCAAAAACTGGAACAAGGAAAAATGACCCCATAAATAAGAACGAGGCGAATGGTCTCAATGTGCACAAATCGTGAGGAGTTTGCGGCCGAAGTAGAGACTTCTGTAAATTATTTGCAAAATCAGCGGAGTGTATTATTTGTCTGCTGGATAGCAGTACGCAGTCGTAAGTTTTTAAAAAATAATCCAATCTGAATCTTACAGTTCGGTTGTGGAAATCACAGCAAGAATAATTTTAGTGCAATTTTTACAGTAAACGTAGATAGGTTTTTGAGTGCACAACACCGTTTTCTTTCCTCCAAAGGTGGGATTATGGTCAGAGCGCAGGGGAGAACATCCGTACTGTGGAGGAACCCTCATCAGTCGTTCCCTCGTTGTGACTTCGGCACATTGCGTTGGCTCCCTCGTTGGCTGCCCTGATTCGGCATTCGGAAAAGTAGTGCAGATTGCAGATCAGCCAGAGGATCGGCTTCATGTGCTGGTTGGTGCTCACGATTATACTCAAGCAGATGCCTCTTGGCAGTTGCGTCTTGTGGTGTATGCAGTCGTCCACCCGAACTACGACGACGGCGCGGGAGAAAATGGCTACGACATCGCGTTATTAAAGCTTCGCGAGCCCATACCTCAAGGTAGGTTGATAGACTCCTACTTATCATCATCATCATCATCATCATCATCATCATCATCATCATCATCATCATCATCATCATCATCATCATCATCATCATCATCATCATCATCATCATCATCATCATCATCATCATCATCATCATCCTCATCCTCCTCCTCCTCCTCCTCCTCCTCCTCCTCCTCCTCATCATCATCATCATCATCATCATCATCATCGTAGTCGTCGTCGTCGTCGTCGTCGTCGTCGTCACCACCACCACCACCACCATCACCACCACCACCACCACCACCACCACCACCACCATCGAACAAAGGGGCTAGTGTACAGAACAGTCGGAGTCGCATAATCGTCGACTCCATGAACCCCAACTGTGCGTATTACGATCTCTAAGCCAGCGTCCTTTTTTATACCTTTAATCTGCTTAGCGATCGAAATGCTACAGACGTCTTGAGAAACAGTGCGTTAATAATAAGTAGAAACGATCGATGAAACAAGAGCTCTATTCGCCTGACGTTTCGGATTCAAGCTGAAACCTATCACCAGAGTCAGTAACAGATACGACAAAATCGTACTGGTCCCAAGTCTTCGGGAGCAATCCCGTACATCGAGAATGTCTTCAGGGCCGCCAGTCGCCTTCTCGCGCCGTTGGTCGTTGGAGTTGTACACAGACTGGAGGCCACCATAAGGCGTCAGGCGATGAGATCAAAAGATCTTCTGCCACGGCAAGAAACGTCCGGGGTCCTTTACCGGATCTGATGCAGTTGCGGGCAAAATGGATAAAATGAAACACTGCTCCGGACGCAAATGGCCGAATACGAAGTAGCAGAGCGGAGAAATGACGCGGCCCGTTGGACGACACACGGCCGCACATTCATGTTTTATGGGGCCAACATTCTCGCGAGAGCAGATAATTGCTGCGTGAGCAGCGAATTACTTGAGTTATGGTTAATGGGACATAAGTCTATCACCAAGAGCAGTGATATCCTCGTTCCATGTTCGATGCTGAGGTATAGTCTGGGCAATGTAATTAACCCCTCGTAGAGCGTACAGGCCGGTGGGCCAGGTGGACGAGCAAGCATAACGCCAGCAGCCAACACGGGTAATGAAATTTCAGCAGTTAACATCTTGCATGCCCGTCCACCAAGTAATTGGCGCACCAGCGGGGAACAATTTTCGATGAAGGGGAAAGCGGTTAATTATCGTAGGTATGTGGTGGCATAGCGACTGCATCCCATAAATACTGAAACCTCCTGTGTACGAATCACTCGTTTCTGTTACAGCCTCTATTGATGGGTGCAAGCGATAATCTGAAAGGTCAGGCGAATAAAGCTCTTGTTCCAGCGATTGCATGTACTTCCTATCAACTACTTCCTGGAACTCGCATCTTCGATTGAATCGACAATGGCTGCGTTACAGTTTCATTAACTGCTGATCACTGTGCCTTATGAATCCCATCCATAACAATGCCGTGCACTTAATCGATTATTGATGAGTTTGTGCATATTACCGCAGGTTATTGAGCGTTCAGGCGTGCTTGCCTATTGTCATGTTAGACAGAACGCATTTCACTAAACAACTTCCCATTTTCTTCCATGCTTTCTACCTGATGTCTCCAAGATGAGCGAGTGCAGCCAATTTGCTTTCCGTCCAAAAACGTTGTGCTGCCGCGAGGTTCCATTGGCTACTTCACCGGTTGGGGAGGACTGTATACGGAGTGGTCAAGGGACAAGCTGGTTCTTCCAAAAACTCTTAGAGAAGCCCAGGTCCTTATGGAATTTGTTGAAAGCTGTAACCAATTCTTTGGCTTTTCTCTACCCGAAAGCAATGGATGCATAGAAGTAAAGGACAGGGTAAGTCATTACAGCTCAAAAGCAAATAAATTCGTGAATATTTTGTTCATAAACTGGCATATGCTACTTATTGAAATAAGTAGTAAACAATAAATCCCCAGTTAACTCACGTCGCATTACTAATGGTAGCTGTTCAAATGTCTGCGAGTACTTGAGGTTTATCAGCAAGCCACAAAGAAACGAGCCGTTACGCAGTCTGTTATGCAAATGGCCCCTCAAGGACAATTTATACGTGTCTGTTGTTAATCCTCTTCAAAAGAAGGCGGGGGAGAGAAATAGGCGACTCCATGGACCACACTGCATTTGTTTTGACGTTTCGCAAACTTCATCGTGTCCATCATCAGAGTGGTAAGGTATGTGTTCCTGCTAACTTGGAGTTGTTCTATCTTGCCCTCAGTCTCGTAGTATAAACATAACTGACGCAGGTATCGGCGTTGATCTGTCCGTGGCCGACTGCCGGCGCGTTCGTGTGACCTCTTTCCCCTTCCCGACCGTCGTTGTCGCTGCAAGGTCGGTGTGCCCGTGGGCCCTCCCCTCGTAACCTGATGGGCTGATCAGCTCCCTTCGCATGTGCGAATCGCGTTCACCTGCTTGGACGCGTCGGTGGGTGGATGTCTCGCGTCGGTCGCTCTATCCCCCTGCCGTGAAGGTGAAAACCATTGAAGGAGGCGCGATTTGTTCGCCAGGAAGCGTCATCGGCAAGCATCACTGGCTGAACTAATGACGAGATGGTCAGACTGGTGCTCAAACGTTGGTCCTCATTTGGCACAATCAGCAGGGCTATTGATCTTCATCTGGCCTACCAGACGCTACTTACAAGGCCCCAGTCAATCCATACGGAGTCGACAGCACTGGCGATCGAGTTGAGACTCCTCCAACAGTTGTCACCTTCAGAGCAGGGGATAGAGCCGGCCGTAGGTCACAAGACCGACGCATCCAAACAGATGAACGCGATTCGCACATACGGCGGGAGCTGATCAGCCCATCGGGTTATAAGGGAGGGGGGGGGGGACACCGGTAAACGGATCTTGCAGCGACGACGGTCGGGCAGGGAACAGAGGTCACACATGCATACGATCGGTCGGCAGCAGACACGTTAGATCGATCGTCGTTGTCGACGGCAAGGCGACAGCAGGGACGATGACTTGCGTGTGAATTAGTTTATAGTGAATGTAGACTCGCGCGGCATCGGTCACACCCTCTCCTACTCCAACCTGAACCCGCTGTCAAGACAGGGCCAAGAAGACCGGATTCAGGGGAGGGAGCAGGTGGATGGCGCGGTCGAGGCCACACCCCCTGGTCCAGTCAGCAAATGACCAGGACTCTAAACATCAACATAAATTGACCAGGATTTTAACTAACAACAACAATGGGGGACGTCAGAGGGCAACTTGTTCTGCCATCGCACCCCTGAAGTGTAGGCATTAGTTACCGTGCGCATTCCCATAACACCTGCCAGAGTCCAATATGGCTCCCGGATTGGCCCAGCGCATCAGCCAACTTGCCCGTTTGGTGAACACGACTATGGACAGATCAACGCCAATTTCCAACCAGAAGACAGGCCATAGTTCGCGCGCGGCGAGGCAAAACCACTCCGGGCTGGCAGGAAGAGACACCCCACCAATCGGATGATGGGAACGAGGATTTTTCCCAAACGTTAGCACGTACACATTGTGGTCCATGGAGTCGCCCCATTTTCTTCCTCATCCTCTTTTAGGGTTGATGAGCAGGACAGTTTATTCGGACCTCAAATCTGCAGTTACGCAGATACCTGTCTACATACAGTTAGTAAATTGGGAGCGCAATCTGACTATACCGTATAATCAATAAACACTTCTTGTATGAGAGCAGACACAAGTACAAGTAATGTGAAATTACTGACTGACTACTGTGACCTCTGATGATGGGTTCGCGAGAGAGTCCGAAACGTCAGGCGAATATATGTCTAATTCCAGTGGTCGCGTCTTCATCTTCCGGACCGTTTCAGCCTGGATGCAGAGGCGTTTGGTGTTTAAGTTTCAAATCGTCTTCTCTTCGAAAAAACCGACACGGTATTTCACAGCTGCATTCTGACTGCAACTTTCCAGTTTAATTTGCACATTTTAAGTGACCCTTCTCTGTGTTTTAGAACCCCTGTGACGGAGACAGCGGCGGTGGACTCTTCTGCCCTTCAGAAGACACCGACAACAGATGGTCTCTGTGTGGAATTATAGATGGTGGAACAGAAGACTGTAAGGGAGAATATGCAGTTATCGTGAAAATTGCTATGGTCCACACATGGATGAGAAATACTGCGTTTATGCTTGGTCTATAATATGCCACTGAGCAATTGTTGTTCGGATGCGAATGACAATAAAGTATTCTGGGAAACCATGCTGACTGTCTAGCTTCGAAATACTGAGCATTTCCACTCAATTGATGTAGCATGTAAACCAGAAATAAGGATTTAGATCATACGGAGTTGCTTCGATGTCATTCCACGAGGGTTCCGGTCGGTGACATTGCCAAACATGCGTTAATAGGATGCAATGCCTTTCAGGAGATCGGCTTTACTCATTATTACTGAGAGATTGCTAACAAATACTGGATTCACAAAATTATTTTCTAGGATCCGATCCTTATTCGTTAACTATTGTGTTTGACTTGAGGTAGGGATAGTTGCTTACAGAGACAAATTTATTGGTTCATGAACTGTCGTCAAATCCGAGGTAAAGAGGGTAAAGATCTGGCGAAGGCCCCTAAGAACCTACGGTTTCGAAAACGTGACTACTTTACGTGTTTAAGTAGATCGTGTTTTATTCAGTACTCTCCTAAACAGTTAGACTGTCAATGTCTGAAAGCATTGACATGCATTTTGCCCGATGCTGTTTGGCAGTATCGCAAAAGTGTGAAACCCTCAGTCATTAATTCATGCTTCAGGCATGCTTTGAGCTGTGTGGTGGCAATCATTTTTAGCATAACAACCATGCAGTAGGTGCTTAATCTTTTGTCCAGAACGGCCGTAATTTTCTTCAGCGGTGGTGACTCAAGACTAGTAGCCTCACGAGCGGACACTCGGAATGTTTCGTCTCTAAGGAACTTTGTCGAATTTCCTCAGTAGCCTAGAGAGTTTCAGGCGCATCGTTCTTAAGCAGACAGAATGGTTATGTCTGCAAGGGTTTCAACACAATTTGTTTCTTCTTTGCAGGTACGATTTTGGAATCGCGCAAAAATATTTTATCAGGGAAAATGATCGAAAACAGAAAACGACCAGTTCTGCGTTTAGTGTTTTATTTTGAGGGAGGGATAGGCGTACGTTAGTTAAATATGTCGCCTGATTTTTTTGGAGGTCGAGAACTGGAAAGGGTCTCCCTGGAATTGTGGGAAGCAACACAGAAGGTAAGTTAGTAAGTTTTCGTCTCCTCAAGGGAAAGGATTACTTTCAATCAGTTATCATGTAACAGTAGACCAGTGTGTACAAAGGCTGAGGTGCGTGCGCCGATTTTAGTAATTATTATGCTAATCAACGATGACTTGGATCTTTATGATACAACTGTACCATAGGAACATGAATATTACTTATCCGACGTTGTCGATGCCCACGAAACCATCAATCACATACTTATCAGAATTACCAGGTCTGCATTCATCACGAATTCTCGTAACTGTTTACTTGAGTCGTTAATCGCTGCAAAACACTATCTCATCATGCAATCCCATTGTTATCGCTAAGTGTAAGAGCCTGGTATAGTCGTTGCTCGTGGTATTACCGAGCCACGGGTTCGTGGCCCAGTGGTTAGACGCATGGACTTCTAAATAACAGGTGGCGAGTTCGTGTCTCGGGTGTTCCACACTTCGGAATTGCGGATGACTGGCTGACGACGGCTAATAAGCCAGAAATGGCCATTCCAGTCTCCCTTGTCTTAGTCGGTAATATAATTATGTCTAAACGTACGAAAACGACCAGTAACTATCAAGCTAAGAATCCGCAGGAATAAATAAATTTTGGCAATTAACAACTCGAGTGTGAACAAACAAGCCATAATCGCACGAAATACGATCCCCAACAATCAATGCGAGAACTGTTAATTATAGTAAGTCCACGTTTCTAACCACACTGCCTATATCATGCGCCGGTGTGCGGCTGCTAATTGGGCTCGATAGAGAGCACGTAAGGCACAACGGAAGGCGTGAGTTCCGTATGAACGATCGGTGAGCGTCCCCTACCATTCCATGGCTCATTTGAATGCTGTTGACAATGTTGCCAACGGAAAGTGCTGTGCCTGGATTTGTTTTATAACAGAGCTTCGGGGACGCTTGTGTGTCCAGCTAAAGTTTGTAAACATACGGTTGTCGCAAGGTGTGGCAAGTAAGGTGACAATCTGGCAGACGTAGAGTACCTTTGGCGACTGAGAACCATCATCGCATTCAACCACCTGCGCAAGTTCACTACTTTTTTCTAACAATGAAAACTACGCCCTGGTGTTTGATAGTACAGTCATTGACCGAGCATATTAAATTTTGGCCGAAATTTTGGAATTCGTTTTAGATTAGAAAAGATTACTTAGGAGGGCGTTTTTAATATACATTAGCATGCGGCATGACCCCATGATAATTCAGATTGCACAGGATGTTGACCTCAGAATGCGTTTCTGTTCGACTTCCGTTAAAATCCGCATTCGGTAAAAAACGTTTAATTAATTAGGACCAATTTCCCACATCGATCTTTCATGTCCTTGTTAAATAAATCATACATGAAAGAAAACACACACAAAGTATGCTTTTTTGATCATCCGGTAGCAAATCATGTCGCACTTTTTACTCGAAGAAAGTGTATATTAAGGTTTTAAAAGGGTTTCCCATTCCCCGAATAATTTTGGGTCTGATCAGCCGTTGAATTACCGTCTAGCGACATCGGTCCACAATGCACACAATTCCCGCATATGAAGTATACCGTTTAAAAGGTACTCTGCCGAATTTATAAAATTTTGCATTGAATGCTGATTATATTGTACACTTCATGAGGGGCATAAATAAACGCACACTTGTGATGTTGCACTAATGGAAATTGCGGGTTCCTAAAAAACCTTATCATTAGAAACATCTTAAAAGCAAAAGGTACCGTAGCTTCGAGTGTACACTGTAATGACGATGTACGTTGCTATCAAATGAGCAGATAAAGGTGCATTTTTGCGAGTTGTTTATAATATTTAATTTAATTTATAAGGACATAAAAAGCAGAGTGAAAAATGCATGTTAAAAAGTAGTCACTTTTCACCGGGCGCGGTGTTTACAGGGAATCGTAAAAAGCGCATTTAGAAACCGCATATACTTAACCCATACCGTAAATCCTTCATTATTCCTGTGCCCAATACCTATGGTCCAGGGCTTGGACAGGTATTTAACTGGCAAAAGAACGGGATCTTGGTAGACCCTTTCTGTTTCTTAGTAAGCCAACTACGAATACTCTTGTACATGAATGGGTCGCAGCGTTTTAATTTTTCAGGTTTATCTGACGGATTCTGCAAAGCCCGTTAAAGCACACCTGCCAGATTTATTCTGCTTTTGACCCCTTAACTATCGCTCCATACTACCCTGGTTTTGTATAAACGCATACGGCGTAATACTGTCCAAACTAGTGCAGTCTTACTTGCCAGTTTCGAGAGATCTTGATTAGAGTATAAATCAGCATATGATATACCATCGTGTACATTGGCACCTGTTTACATGTAACCCGAGAATTTATAACAGTATTATTTTTGAAGCCGTTGCTCACATTTGTAGCTGTTAGCAAGCGTGTTCCGTGTGATTAAACGCATATTATTGCTCAAGTACTCATTTTGACGCATTTCGTAAACACTTTAGTGCGCGGTTTTAGCAAAGTTGGCCAAACTTGGAAAGTGCGGTTTGAATTACCTACAGATACAGTTAGGATGTGTGTTCAGATGAATTACGCGTAGGAGATGTGTTAAGTGATAAAATGTTAAATAAAATTCCGAAATGCGTTTCTGATCGAAAAAGATTATTTAAATAGGGTTTTTATATTAATTAACCTGCGGCAAAATTCCAAGATATCTCACTCTCATCGGAAAGTTAGCTGTTGAGCGAATTGCTTTCCGTCCGTCAGCAACAACCAACTCTGTAATAAACGGCTACTTATAAATTTCTCTCAATGAAAAAAACGCGCATAAAATATCATTTATGCTGGTCTGGTAGAAAAGTGGACCTTTTTCAAATTTAATGCCCGAAGAAAGTGTACATTTCGGCCTTAAAAGCTTTTTCGATTTCCAATCAATACTGTGCAAGAGATCATGTATAAATACTGTGATTTTTACGGGCAGGTGGAAAGAATTTCGACCACAAGATGGGATTTTCAAGCAACTGAATTTCATGAGAGTATACTACATGGTCATTAATCTCACAGCTCTACCGAAATGATAGTTTCCAGTCGAAACATCGTTTCGGAATTTCGATTAATATTTCATAAGTTAGCACATCTACCGTCCGTAAACCCTCCGCACAAACATCTTAGCTGTATCCAATTTTAACGTAATTCAAACTGTACTTTTCCGTCTAGGAAAAGTGCGAACTGTAGCCGATCAGCCTAGGTTTCATGAGCAAATATTAGCCACAGAATCCAAAGTTGGCACTGCTAGAACTCGCGGCACGGTTGTTTATTAAGGCATGTGTACTGTCTGTCGCAGGCGTTTCCATTGTAAAACAAGGCGACATAAGTGGAAGCGTTGCCCAGCACACATAAATCAAAGTTGGAGATTAGGGTTGGGTATATGGTGTGGTTTAGGACTAGGATTAGGATTATAGGCGGGGTTAGGATTAGTGCTAGGTTATGGATCAGGGCGCGGGAATAGTTGCCCTGTCTGCAATCTGGCGAAAGTTCACCTGTCGTACGGTGTGAGGGTCCCACCTCCGTGTATTGTCTCCAGTTCTAATAGAGGTAGTGCGTGAACTGTTATTAACAGGCGTTTTTGATCGATTGAATTGGTTACTCGACCAGTCGCGAAAATCTCGGCGGGGTTTGGACCCAAGACTGAAGGGCAGGGTTTGAGTACGGCAAACGCTACTTGTTGCCAAGCTGGCATACAGAAGTGAGTTTGCCCCTAAATCAAACAGTTGGCTCTGCTAGGCTGTTTATTTGGTAAGGGTTTTTCTGTCCCAATGTAAAGTGTCATGTGGACACTGCCAGAACAGATTCTAACACTAGCAACGAGGCACACTCTGGTCGAGAATCTTGAGTGATGGTAACAAAGAAGAGTAACTGTTGGTTAGTCGGCCACGTTTTGAAGAACCGGAATTGGGATAGGTCAGTAGATCTGGTGCTATCGTGTCCAATTCACACCTCGGAAGTTCTTGAAAAACTGGGCGCCAAAGTTTATCTGTGTGCGCTTCTATCCTAAGCGCCCATTCTTCAACCTGTCGAACGGCGCTGATTGGATGCAAAGGTTGCAAAGTTCCAACTATCTGCCAGATCGGCACCTCCTGTGCTTTGGTCTTTGCGTATTCTAGACTCAGCTTTTGCATTGTATCCACCCAGGTGTAATTATAAGGCGATAATGGTTTCCGCATTTGAGGCTGCATAATTCCTGCATTAGGAATGCCTGTTCTAAAAGTGCCGTACCGAACATTTCTCTAAATGCTGAAGGATACGTTGTGGGGCCGTGTTTGTAAATATATATTATAAAAGCTAATATGCATATTCTTTTGCATCAGTATTCGCCAAATGCTTCAATAATAAAAACGTATTCAGTTGACAGAAAATACGCACTTCACAAATAAGTAATACGTCAATACTTTCGAAAACTATCATACATTTATTAAAATGAAGGGTGTTACTGCAAATTGGATAGTATAACTTATGTTTTGTAACTGGTTTTTCGGACGCGTAGAGAACCCTAGCTAATTGAGAGATGTCGCATCAGCATCACAGTCGCTTACTAACTGTACATTCCAGGAAATCCTATAAAAAAAGATGAGGAGAGTTGTATCATTTGTGCTGACGCACGCCTTTTTTGATAATCTTCCTTCATCCTGAGGAGCCAATCGCCAGCAACTTTTTCCAAAAAGCGCCGACAGCATTGACCTTATGTACAAGTTCACGTTTACTTTGTCAAATGAACCTTCGGAATGCAAATATGCAGAACTTCAGGAATCGAAACATGAAAGATCGCTGCGTAACCAGAATTCAATAGCAAGTAGTCGAGGATCACTTGCTCAAGGAACTTTCCTCGTCTTCATTATTAAGTGCATGCATATAATCCATGGAGTTGAGAACAGGCAGATTTTAGATAATTCACATTGACCCAACAGTGAAAAACTCGGCGCCTCGGTGGGATTCGAACCCACACAGTAAGAGAAGGGGTTTAGTACAGCCAACGCTCTAACCACGTGCGCTACGAGGCGCCGAGTTTTTTACACTTCGGTCAATGTGAATTATTCGAAATCTGCCAAAACATCGTTGAATTAAGTGAGCCTGAAAGTCACCTGTTGGATTCTAGGTGAATTAATTAGAAAATCCTGTTTGGGCAGTCAACTTACCGTATCAGATTTAATGGATTCCAGACGTTGCTGTAGGTTGGGCGGGTACCGTGACCCAAATGTGATTAAACTCGCGTCGTCTGGTATGGCTTCGTAGCTCAAGCGGTTAGAGCGTTGGCCGAACTAAAGCCTTCCGCTTACTGCATGGATTCAAATGCCATTGAGGCGCTCGTTTTTTACAGTTGCGTCAATAGAAATCCTGGTTAAATTGATGGATAAACATGGGCGTATTATCCCCTTTCAGAAGGCTTAAATATGTAGCCACACTAAGACTGTGCTTGCGACTGAATTTGCCTTCCGTGAATATTTAGAAGTCGTAAAAGTGAAAACCTGGTTGGCGCTTTTGCATGGAAGCACCTGCTAGTAACTTCTTTTAACTTTGTCTAACAAGAACGCTTGGTAATAAGGCTGTTGAATATATAGCGAAGGAAAACGAACATTTATCCTCGCTGCGTCTGATATGACAAAGTGGAAAATATATAGACCGATTGCTCCAAAATACCGCTGAGAGACAATCTTTTAAATTGCATATATGTAACAGGCAGTTCTTAGAGTTAAGTGTAAATGCCTGGCAAGTACAAGAGGAGTTAATTCAGATGCATTACTTACGAACGTCTTATAAAATATCAAAGTGAGATTGGATTTGTTAAAACGTGATATAACGTCGTCAGCTTTCTTTACTAACGGACTGCAGAGTCTTTAGAGGTGTGTTATCACATACACTCGGGTTGTGCAACGGAAACCAAAAGCTAGTATGATGTTGACTTCTCCGAATTTCGATGATAAATAGTGCGAATGTGACGAAATACCTTCAGTGCATCAACACTTCATATAATGCATAAGCCAGCCTATTTTCCTTTCCGAATTGTTTTATGCGAGTGATTAGCTGGAAAAAAGTCTGCGTAATTATCGAGCCTCTTTTAAAAATCAGCCGAAATATAACATATGTTCTAGTTTAACTATCCAGATTAGACTTTTAATGTCTTCCAAAACATATGCTATTGCAGTATGTCGTCTTTGAGCAGTTGTATGTAGGCCACAGCCAATATTATGGCAGAAACAACACCATATTCAAACCATATGTGTTGTTGTACCCAAAGGCCTGTCCTTTGATGAAACCTAGTGTAGAAAATAGGGACCAGTTTGTGTGTAACGCTCGTAGACGAGCGGAGAGGCCCGAACAGTCAACTGGGAAAAAGAAATGAGGCCGGCATTGATAGCACCTACTCTAAGACACATGGGCACATTTCCTACTAATATGAATCCGACGAATTTAGTTGTTAACGGCACTCTAAAAGCCATGATTTAAAAGGAAATCAACTGGATGGAGGATAGATGACCAAACTTAACGTAGAATTTATGGCTAGACAAGAGAGTCCTTTACATAGTTTAGAATATTCGGCGGGAAGGATGCTTAATTTCTTTGTGGGAAATCAAACGTATGGTACAATGACAGGTATTCCTTCTCCAATACACGTTCAAATAGACCGCTCAACTTTCAGGACAGAAATGGTGGCTCTTTTGGACATCGGGTTTTAATCCAGTATCTAAACGCTTTATGCTGAGGGCCTAGAAAATGAGGGCGGCAGTCAAGAAGTCATTCATTACTCCCTAAGTCGCAAGAAAGTAAGTGCAGACTCATATAGTATGACGACCGTAATTTGCTTAGGCAATATGGCATTCACTTCTTGTTGATACTTGCCTCTATTGAACTAATTTGAGGCGCAGTAAACCTCTATTTTAATAAGAATCAAATTCATGTCTGTTTTCTAAAAGGAAAACGGACCGAATGTGCGCGAAATTGGACATTCCCGACTATTCACTTCATCTCCTACGACATTTATCATGCGTCAAAACCTATTGTTTGTGCGTTTTGCGTACAACAACACCAATCCGTACAGAAGGTTAACCCCAGAGGTGCATTCGCTTATACGACGAGGTTTTATTATTCAAAAAGCAGGAAGAACGTCCCAGGCTCACAGAGCGACCAATCTAGCCCTCAGCAATAGAGACCACAAATAGCGAAGTCTTAAGCGATATTAACAAAAGTCCTTCCGTTTCGATATCGAATGTCACCGTGATTTTGCTGGATAATGCTTTTTCTGTCGCTCAGTGGAATGATTGTGGTTCAGCTTACGACTTAAACCTTATGCTTGGACGAGAGACAACCTAGTCGCGTTCGGTCTAAGAAGAATGTTGAGACCTCCAAACAACTCAAGCTGCAGCTCGAGAGAGAGCTTCAAGGTACAATGGGACGAGTGGGAACAGTAACAAAATCGTTGCGCGCCCCTCTACGAATGAGGACATCAAATTTTTACGCGTATTTCGATTCAAAATCGCAAACTGCCAGAGAGTCCAACAGGCTTCTCCATCGTTCTTTCCTTCGCCCCCTCCACATCCCCATTTCCAAGATTGTCTACATATGCAGGCCACATTCCCAATATTTACAGTGAATACTCTCATATACCTCAAATTATCTTAGTTCCGCAAATATTCTCATGGTACACTTGAGAAGTCAAGTTGACAAACACGTGTTTTCGGTTATTCTTCGTCAGGCCAGTACAGTTACATGAAGGAATGAAAATTTACAGAATTACCAGTGTTTATAGGTGTCTCAAGGGCTATTAACTCACTAACACTCATCTTCCCCACGCCGCCCGCATGACGAGGTCGGCGGGTTTTGGTCCTTAGAGTTAGGGGAGGAGAGTGCTCTTGGATTGAATACACATAGTACCCATCACTGTTATTAGGAATTTGAGGCGACATGTGGTCATCACTTGAGGGTGGCGTTGGCCACGGCAGAGAGAGCGCTTGTGTCAGGGTTTTCTGACGGCTTAACACCGGATTCGCTAGCCGTATAGCCACTGCCTCGGCCGTTGCTAGTATCCGTTGGCGTAGCCCTTTAGAGAAGCTTGTTGGTGTCCGATAGAAAACCTGAAATACTTCCTTGACATGGACTCGATGATCCGCATCGATTAAATGTGCGAGAATAGAACTCGAAATCGGTCGGATCTCACATCTGTGTAACCAGGCGGACATATGTTTACGCACCCTCTTTACAAGACGTCTCGTTGTACGGCCGCTGTATCCCGCTCCATAGGAGTAAGTGAATGAGTAGATGCACATTGATGTGGCCTCCAACGGTAGTCTGTCTTTACCTCCCAAACATAGGAGGGGAGATTTTGTAAAACACAAGCGTAAATTCGCCGCGGGAATGCCCTCGTGATAGCTGTAGTTATTCGCCGTCTGACTAGTTCGCTCTCTGCGTCTCCTGCAAAAGGCAATCTTATGAGTACATTTTTCATTTCCACATTCGCAACAGTGGGCTTTTCGGCGCGATCCCCAATATTTCGGAGGATAAATCTATCTGGGTACCCTATCTCGCGAAGTGTGTTCCGCAGCTGTTGGAGCTCTGCTTCAACAGCTTCAGGTGAGCAGATGCGCCTTACTCTAGTTGCCAATCCCTGGACTAGATTTCGTTTGATGTTGAGGGGAACAAAACTGTGGAAATTAATGTATTGACCCGTCCAGGTTTTCTTTCGGAACACCCTGCGCTGGATAGACTCATCCTCCTGCCTGTGTAGGGGGACGATATCTTCTGTCTAGCGGATGGTACCACCAACATCGAAGACCTTGTCCAAAAGTTAAACAGTGCGCATCCATCACTAAAGTTCACTGTCGAGTCTGACGCAGATGACGAAATTGCGTTTCTCGATGTCCTCCTACACAGGCAGGAGGATGGGTCTATCCAGCGCAAGCAATGTTCTAAAGATCAGCCAATATACAAACTACCAATCAGCGGCCTGAAGCAATAACCAATAGGCAACATCTCTGGCACTTGTTCGCTGGATAAATTTGAGCAATTCACTACTTGCAAAGGTTAACGCCCTGCATAAACATTGCCTGTGAATGTCTATCGACATGAATCAACATTTAAAAGAAGGTAAGTTTGAAAGAGTTCTTTGTTTCCGAAGAGAAAAGACAATTCTATATTCATATCTTGCAGTTATTTTGTCGTAGTAACGTTTACTAAGCGGTCATTTAGCACATTTTACATTATGTTCGGCCGCTTTTACTCGAAAACGAGTTCATTTGGGGAATATTAAACGGTCTATTGTCTTAATAAGCATAAACGCTTTCTCTGCACACCTTGATAGATACGACAGTTAAAAGATATAAATATAAGACAGAGTCCCCGAGACAACCGCTACCTCGTAATTAAATTCAGGCTTCATCTCGCTGACAGTGAGCATAATTCATAGATTTGTGGAGTTCGATTCTTGTGTAAACTGTACCGTATTTCTGCAGTGATACTGAAAGAGGGGTGGTCGCAGACTGGTATTATTTGATCGGACTAGGTCGTCATAGTTTAAGTAGAAGTTCCCCTAATGGGCAGCAGTTATCGTTGGGTCGACCTATTCATATGTGAGCGGCAAAGTAAATGTAGAACGTATTATAGTTCGAACGTTGTGTTCGACGATGTCCAACTTGTGCTTTACAGGAAGGTGAGGGAGGCACAGTGACTTACGTGGGGATTAGTTTATAGTGAGAGTAGACTTGTGCGCCACCTGCCGTACTCTCTCCGTCTCCGTCTCTTCACTGGAGCCCGGTGTCAAGACGCAGTCAAGATGACCGGAAGTGAGGAAGGGCGCAGGTGACTGGCACGGCGAGACCCGCACCTAGGCGTACCGCCACAACCCCCGGTCCACAACAAACATTTGACCAGGATTTTCTCCAAAAATGGCACCATGACGGGTCAGAAAGACGAGCATGACTAAGCAGACATGCTTACAAGCTGTATTCACGGGAGGGGACGGTCGCCGGCGCATCTAGCGGTAGGGTTCCAGGCATCATGGAACTGCTAACGCAAACTAGACCGCGCTGGACTTGGTTTTCTGATCCTGACATAGCAGAGGCATACATTCCTTGAGGTCCACTATGAACTTATACTGTCGAACACTTTGCCAGTGGAATCACAAGACCCAGACACCGCTGCTTACATTTACTCAAGCAAATCAGTGTTTATAGTCATACAGGGATGCCAACAGTTTTGACACAAACTACGCGGAGAGACCAAAAGGACAAATTTCACGTTTGATCTTCGCGTTTGATTAGTGTTTGTATTAAGCAGTTTACCAAATATAAGGCAGAAGCGAAAAATGCTTATCAAACGAAGAAGACGCGATCAATGGAACAGGAAGTTACTTTGTCTGGCCTCTTGAATTTTCCCACTCATCATCCTGAGACAGTTGCAAATAAGGAGACAGAACTCGCCTCCTCTTTCCTATCGGTAAAAACGACTGCAATTCGGTAATCGTGCCGGTCAGACGGGCTTTAGGCAATTTAAAACCTTCTTAAACATTTTTGGCAATAAGGCTTTTGGCATTAAACGGACCAACGGGACATACGTCATGAAAACATCAATATTCCTGATGATTCTACAAATCGAATGCAACTTTGATGTAAGTGTAGTGGCCAGGACTGGAGGTGACTACGCAGGGCTCTGTACGACGGCGCCATATCGATAAAACGATTAACCGAGTTCTCATCGGAGGCCCAGGCTTCAGCCAATTCTCGGCATATTTTGTTTCCGACTTGATCGACTATTTTGTCACTGCGAGATTAGACTCGTGATCTATTTCGTAGGTGGGGGCGGCCACTTATGATAATGCGTCGCCTCGTCGCACAGCCAGCTTATGTTCGTGTATGCGGGATCCGAGCATGCGCACAGTCACCTCCAGGCCGGCGCCGTCGGTCGATAATTGGCCTACATGCCCCATAACTGTCGCTTGTTCTGTTGCTGCTACTACCTCTGACGATGGACTCCTGTACGAGTCTGAAAGCTGAGGACAATAAACAAAGTGCTCTGGTGCTCTACTCTTCTTCTTCGCTTAAGCATGCACCTGGAACTCGAGATTTCATCTTCATTCGTGAAACATCAACATTCCTGATGTTTCCACTAAGCAGATGCAAATGTGATGTGAGTGTAGTGGCCATCAGTGTTCCACGAAGAGACCCTTCTATCCAATTGCAAGCGCATCTTGTGCTCCAGAGCCTTATCTCACCATTCGTCAATCCTTCTTTCTAGGAGATCCCGAGCCCACCGTTAATCCGGAAAATATCACACTCTATGAGATGCACTTCTGCCCCTTCTGCCAACGCGTTCGATACACTCTGGATTATCATCAAATACCGTAAGAAACTTTACCAAAATTGTTGAGTCCAATTCTAATAATCTCCAATGTACACAATTTATATTGATCCAACTGTGGAAAACGCGTCTTCTCGGTGGGATTCGAACCCACGCAGTAAGGGGGTGGCTTTAGTACAGTCAGCGCGCTAACCACATAAGCTACGAGTTGGGTCAATATGAATTATTCAAATTCAGCCAAAACATCTATAAATTACGTGAGCCTGGTAGTCATCTGGTGGACTCTAGGTGAATTACTTGGGAAATCCTGCTTGGGCAGTCAACTTACCGTATCAGATTTGGTGGATTCCAGAAGTTGCGGTAGGTTGGGCGGGTACCGTGACCCAAATGTGATAAAACTCGCGTCGTCCGGCGGGGCCTCGTAGCTCAAGTGGTTAGAGCGTTGGCTGCGCTAAAGCCTTCCCCTTACTGCGTGAGTTCGAATACCTCTGAGGCGCCGAGTTTGCGTCTGCACTAACATGTTCTTCAGACTCTACAAAAATTATTTATGTAAGTACAGTAGGTGAACTAACCCATGAAATGTCAATCGAAACTGCGAAAGGCGTTCTCGTTTCGAAAATATTAATTAAGTAGTGTTGCAAAACTAATAATTGTGCGGCATTATTCTATAATAATCTAGTTACCTCAGGAGGCCTTCTTTTGAACGAACTTTACTCTGCAAAAAAATGTCTACTCATGTGGCATGCAATTTCCTCATTGATTTTCGATGTCCTTTAAAATTCAATTATATTTCATGAAAAAATGCACAAAATATGCACTCTTCTATTAATTTTGTTAAAAATAACGTATTATTTCAAGATCACACTCGAAGAAGGAGTATAATTTGGTTTCAATGAAGTCTCTAATTGTAAACCTTTTAAAACCACGAAATGGCCTTCCACAAAACATCGTGTATCTGAATTTGCCAATGTGGCTTCTAAAGTTAACAATATTGCTCAAATCCACTGCTTAATTTCATAAACCCCATATAATCTTCTCTTAGTACAGTAGACAAAAGTATGGTTTTCCGTACACGGAAAATATGCGGCATGTAGTTTTGAAACCCTGAATGCAAGTATAACAGCAGGCCGAGTTCAAAATTATTCGAGAACAAGAAAAGTTTTTAAAACCAAAGTATACTCTTCTTTTGAGTATAAAATTGGAAGGGGATGTGTTTTTCTACCGCATAAGTAAGTGAATGCATATTTTTATGCATGTTTTTTCAAGAAATATAAATGAATTTTCAAGGGCATCTAAAAACGATGAGAAAATTGAATACAATTTAAGTATTCATTTTTTGCAGAACACGGTTTTAACATGCAATCGGAAATAAGTTCATTTGAAAGCCGGCACATTGAGGCAACTGGATTATTATAGAATTCTGCCGCATATTGATTAGTTTTAAACACTACTTAATTAATCTTTGCGAAACGAGACCGCATTTTGGAATTTCGGTTGAGATTTTATGAGTAAGCCTACCTACTGTAATTGTTTGTTTTTTCTGTATCCCGAGGTTGCGTGTCCATAAAACTGTTTGCTTAATAGAACATACTGTGATTGTTCACTACCAGATATGACCGCATATTAATCAACTTGAGCTCAAAGCCCAGTTGGTATCTGCGGCTGAATCCGTCGGGGAAGGTCCCGTTGCTGCTGCATCGAGGTGAGAAAATGGTTGAGTCGGATGTTATCATGAAGTATGTCGACCAAATCAAGGGCCCCGAAACTTCTCTACTGAGCATTTGCGGCGAGGAAGGTTTTAAGGAGTCGTTGGACTTATCGTCTGCCGTGAGTCTAATGACCTTAGCATAGTCCATGTATGTTATTTTACGTTTTTCGATCGTTAGAGTTAAAATAATTTATGTCATATTACGTGAACCCGGTAGATATCTGGTGGACTCTAGGTTAATTAACTAGGAAATCCTGCTTGGGCAGTCAACTTACTGTATCATATTTGTTGGATTCCAGACGTTGCCGTCAGGGCCTCGTAGCTCAAGTGGTTAGAGCGTTAACTGCGTGGGTTCGAATCCCACTGATGCGCCTAGTTTTCATATTTGGGTCAAATATGAAGTATTTCCTTTCAGCTTAGTTTCCTTTTAGTTTTTGAATAGTCGCCGTTATCGTCGTTATCACAATAAGCTACAACATCAACAGAAACATTGCTCGCATAGATGATAGTAATAACAGTATTAGTGATTATTTCTACCTCTGCACATAAACAATCACTATAGTTATGACCGAAAGCAAGATAAAAATGATTACCGCGGTCGCAATCATCTTCTGTAATGAGGACCTTTGTGCGGGCCAATGAGAAACCTGAGCTCGTCGATGCGCCTAATAGATCGAGGATTATCAGATAAATGACCTTGTGAACTTAGAAAGATTGGTTGCAGAACATACACGGATTGCAACTCTTAATTGCCTGTTTGGATTGGCTTTTACTAGCATATCCAGTAAATGTCAGCCGTGGCAATAAGAAGTGCGATTTCAAAGGCCAACGCTTGGAGACTTACAGAAGTTTATTTCATCTTTCTGCTGTCTTTGGACCCCCACGTTCATTTTGCAGTTCATGGCCAACATAAGGTTAGTTGTAAGCATGCATGACGTTTTTCGATCAGTCAAAGGGTGCCGAAGACCCTTTTCTTTGTGTTTATGGTGAGGAGGTCCTTGAAGTTATTTTGAAATGGCCAATGTCCGTAAGGTACCTGATTATTGCAGTGCTTGTTTATGGTATTTCACGTGGAGTAATGTGCGATTGTCTCCTGTTTGAAGTGACTTTAAATTGTCTCTCGTACTCTCATTTTTGTATGCACACACTCGTCATCTTATTCACCCCAAGCAATAATAGTAATGTTAATAAAACTGATCATAATCTTTACTTCTACCACGCCAGTACCACGACAATGACAACTGTAGTTTATATTATCTTCCGCGGTGATGGCGCTAAAACATGCAAGTCAATAATTTTCATCCGCAAAACCACCACAAGATCCTGGATTACGGAAGAAGTTGATTGGGCAGATTTTTGCAAATCAGACACAGCAACTGGTAACAACTCCAGCTAACGACACTCTGGTCATTCGTCAGACACTCGCGGCGGAGACCGTTTGCACTTCCATCCGCGAAGAAATACTTTAAAAAAGTCTTTCTGCGAAAGTACCGACTGAAGCTTGTAGTTTGAACTGGAAAATTGTCTGCGAAAGATAACTCCTAATGGTACTTGAATTCACCTGCGCTGGGAGTTAAAGATGTCTGGGTTATTTACAAATATCTAAGTTTATCGCCAGGGCGTTCACCCTGTCATGGTACTTCATGGTTCAGCAGGCTACCATGTAGCATTTACCAATGCGATTAAGCTTTCATGGAATTGCACTGTTACATAAAACTGCCATTAAGCGCATAGATAAATCTAATCGACATTCTGCCCACGCACGCCATTCAGATTATTGGTCCCCGCGTCAGACTGTGCTTCTCAGCCGAGGCCACCAAGACTGACGCGGATGCCTTCAAGGTCGCTCTGTCAAATCTGGACAAAGCTATTAAGGGTTCCTACCTCCTTGGTGCGTCCGTCTTCTTTCTATTCGGTACTGTTTTGTGTCGAAACAAATGTGCTTACTCTCTTTATTTGTCGATAGCTTTTGCACTATGCGACCTGATCATAAAATAGTTACTAGTTTGTTATCTAGAATTGCCATCTTGTTGTCTTTAAGTGACACTCTAGGTGCTCAGTTATAAATACTCTCCATTCCGTTGCCCAAGACGACTTTTGTGGATACAACTGCATCCCTAAAAAGCCTTTAAACATAGATTATATTACAGATATACGACACGTTCCATCCGGAAACATAGTCCAGGATTTTGCCTAAGCATTTGTGATCTGTACAGTTTTTGTGTTTTGCCTATTTTCCATGGTGTTTACTTTATTTGTTCAACTCGCATTCATTCTATATCCTATTCTGCAGTCCAATTGGGACGGCGTATTTTATGACAAAAAGGAATGTCAACAGGTCTGACAGTTTTAAATTTTTTTGCAAAGGTGAGAAATTGAGTCTGGCTGATTTGGCTCTGATTCCTTTCATCACTGCATGGGGCTTCGTCATGAACCGATTGCTCATTGTGGACGACGCCTCCGGTGCGGGTGTCGAGACTGTCGCATCTCAGTGGCCCAACGTGCTGAAGTATCGTCAACTCATGAACCAGAAGCCTTACATCATGAAGACCACCTTCTCGGATGATGAATTTGCTAGCTTCGCCGATGCGTACGGCTTGAAGAAGCCGGCTGCAAACTCCTAGTTGTCTGCACTTTATCAGCGCATTTGCGTGCGTATTCTTCTACTCTGCTTGTTCAATGTCCTCTTGATTGGTGCAGTTGTGGGATTTGCACTTTTCTAGCCACTGTTTCATTTTACGTTCTGTCGCGCGGCTTTCAGCATTCGTGCTGGCTTTTATGAATTAAAGTTCTCTGACGTACGCCGAGTGTTCGGTCAGACGTGGTTATGCAGTATCACCTGAAGTAAAAGAACCCTAGCCGCCTGTAATACGGGACTGGTGGAGATAGGGGTTTTTACAGGGGGACCGGAGAGTGCACAAGCAATGAGGTCAAGTAATTGTATTCATGGGAATGCACGGGTGTACTTTGAGTGGTTGAGAAATAGTTGCCCTTACCCCTAACCCTAGCCTCTAAGCCTAATCCCTAACCCTAACTGCAACGCCCTAAAAATGTTTTCTAATTCCCGAATAATTTTGAGCCAGATCTGTCATCACATTAGCGTTTAGCGATTTCAATTTACAAGGTGCATGCTTTCTACGTAAGAAGAATCACATATTTCTCTATGCGTTTAAGAAGAAACCATATAGAGTTTATAAAATTTTGCAATGGATCCGGACTATGTTGTACATTTCACGAGGAGCTGTCATAAACGGCCAGGCACGATACTATGTGAATGAACATTGCGCGGTATTAAAGAATCTCATAATTAGAAACTTTTTTTAAAACCTAATTATACTCCTTCCTTAAATAAAAAATATAAAGAAGACGTGATTCTCTATTAATTGACTGAAAGAAAGCATATTGTTGTTCATGCTTTCTTTAAGATATATTTGAATTTGCAAGACCTTCGAAAATCAATGAGAAAAATACATGCTACTCAAGTAGTAATTTTTTACCGAGTACGTTTCTTACAGGAGATTACAAAGCAGTGTGTTTAAAAGCCGACATCCTGCCGAGTCCGAAATACTATACGATTATGCCGCAAGCTAATTAGTATTAAAAGCGCGCCTAAGTAATCCTTCCTAATCGAAAACACGTTTCAGAATTTCAGTCAACACTTTTATGAGATAGGTCACTCACTGTATTCTTCGTTTTGGCTGGACTTGTCCTTTTATCATTGTTCCTGCGAATTGCCGTTTATTGTATTTTCGGAAAGAAAACGGCAAACATGTCGCGTTCGTGCTAGGAGCTTTTTGGGACCGCATCTGCTCTCGCTCTGTTATGCTGTCTAGCATTTGGCTCTGCCTATCCTCAAATGACTGATGCCCAAATAAAAAACCTTAAGGACCGGACTACAGGCATAAAGTAGACCATTAGCAGCGCACAAGAGAGCTCTGCGATGGTTTTGTTGTTTGTTTTCTCGATTGATACTTTCATTCCTTCTACGTCCTCTTTCGGACGAACATGTCTTACCAGGGCTATTTTGCCGCATATGGTAGATGTGCTAACTCATGAAATGTTAACCGACATTCCAAAACTCCCATTTTGACTCGAAAATGTTATTTAATTGAGGTTGTAATATTACTCATCTTAAAACATAGTCCTCTAATGAATCCGTTACTTCGGGATGCCGGCTTTTGTAAAACCTTCTTTCCGACCACTTGCACAAGTCAAACGAAGCAAAAAATGGCTAATTATTTTGTATCACTTTTCCCATTGATTTGTGATGCCCATATACATTTAAATGTATTTCTTGTAAAACATTGCGCAAACATACTCGTTCTTTTACTCATCTGGTAGAAAATCACGTTTTCTTCAAACTTTAAATTTGAAGAAGGGAAATAATGCGGTTTTGAAAACTTTTCTGATTCCCGAACAAATTTAAACGCAATCTGTCATTGTATTTGAACTCAGAGTTTCAAAACTACAAGCCGCACGCTTTCCGTGAACGGAAAATCATCTATTTCTTTACGGCACTAAGAGGAAAGTGTCTGGGGCTCATGAGATAAGGCCGTGAATTTCAGCTATATGTTAAACTTTACAAGCATATGTCGTAAATGCAGAGATTCGCGCACTTTGTGGTCTTAATCGCTTCGTAATTAAAAACTTTCTAAAATCCAATAACACGCCTTCTTGAAGTACTAAATTTAAAAGGACGCAATATTTTATGAAATGAGGAAGACAACAAATATTTTTGGGCACATTTTCCATAAATATATTTAAGTTTATAAGGGCATCAAAAATCAATACGAAAACTTGGCACTACCCAAGTAGTCATTTTTTGCATTGTGGAGTTTTTGCAGGCGGTCGAAAAAAATTTCATTCAAAAGCCGGCATCCTGAAGTGACTGAGTTATAATATGATTATGCTTCACCATTAGTAAAATTACAACTTAATAAAATAATCCTTTTAAGTCAAAAACAGTCTATGAACTAGCACACTTACTGTATTCAGCAAGTTGGACCTTGTGATGTGAGACGTTATCTATTTGGCATGCGCCCAAGATATTGCCGCTTACTTGACGTTTCCACATTAATTACCCGTAGGTAAGAATTTTTTTGTAACCGCAGATGCAATTCTTACCTCAAGCTTTACGGATGGAAAAGAAGTTATATTAAGATGATTCAGATATACTGGCCGATAATTTTGGAAATTACCTCTGTAGACATCTTTTCTATTGGGCTATGGACAATAACCATGTGAAATTGAAAAATGCTTGCATATTTAAGCGTTTATTAAGTGGTGGAACGGAAATTCTATTTTTCAAGTTAAAGACAAATGTTTTCCCATCAACAATGAAAATAATGGGGCCAAGATTTGTCGTTTATGCTGTTAGTCTAGACAAAAGTATTTTAAGTGAAATAGAACTACCTGTTTATCTGTCAGTTTTTTTACCTTCAGGGATGCAGCGAATTGTCCGAATACGTTGCCCACTTATGGGCTGATGCACGGATTTCTATTTGTTAGGTCGCCATTCTTATTCAGAAATCCAGACGTTAGTTGAACAATCTGTTTAGAAATAAGACCTTAGTTCGTGCGCGTCGGCCGTGTAAGCAGAGAGTCGCATTCTTGGGCGGCGCAAAGGTTAAATTTTTAAAATAACAACGGCTTTTGGAATTATTGTTGATTTTGGGTATACTAAGATGATTCTAGCTATTTCAATGGACTTGTAAATATGATGTGTGATAATAAGAGTCTACAATTTCCCTTTAGCGCTACAACTTCAGTTAAAATGTGTACGCATTTTTGTCTTCTAACATATTACTCGAATTAAAAATGATAGTCATTCGTCTTCGGGAAATTTCGGCTGTCGATTAAAAACGTATGAGTATGTTTTTGGTGAATTTCCGCCTTCAAATTGTATGCAACTGTATTTCAAACATCTCATGCAGTCACTTAGTAGTTGGCGCTTTTAATAACTGATAGATTTTTGCCGTCCTCTGTAGTCGCTAAAATGTAAGCTACAGTTTCTGTGTTTCCAATGAAGCGATGATTCTTTGGAAAACTATTTACTGGCTGCGTAATTTGCTTGCTACTGATGAAGTGACGTTTAGGAACTCAAAAACGTTTTTTAACATCTCGCATGATCAGCGGGTACCATTTTACTTATCAATTACAACTATATCTATATGATTCGCATATTTCCTTCTCGTTAGTGGCTATGATGTAATCGTTTTCCATCAAAGACAGCAAAAAACGCATGAATGCCTTTTTATTATTCACTTGAATTCAAAAATCGCATTTGTCTATCCTCGTCCCTTAACAAGTAATATGCGGTTCTCTGTATGAAACAAGAGATCAACGTTTCTTTAGATAATTAAGGGCTACTTTATTTAATCTTCTTATTTTCAAAAATTCTGCTAAAGTTAAATACGATATGTGACTTAACACATAATGACTGTTTGAAATTGACCTGCTTATTTTCAAACACACACACGTCTACAAATTTTAATATTCTAGCTAGATCATTACACAAAACATTCCGAAAGTCATACAGGATATATCGATAATAATAGTAACCAAAAAATACAAGTTAATAAAACGTCTTTGAATCACAATCTAACTGCGGAAGTCACTATATGTCGCAAACGAAGGGAGAGCATAAACTAAAAAACAAGTGGATGAATTTGCGTGTCTAAAGGATAGCCTCGGCAACATATTACATGAAGTTCCACGCAACATACATTCATAGTCTCCGTTTTTCTCAATCGAATTTTACGGTGGAGTGTTCGGAAGGCGATCAAGAGTTTGAAATATGTCATGGCAATCGGGAGTTCTAAACGGGCCCAAATTCTGCCGTAATTTAATCCGCGTGCTCAGTAACTTTTAGCTAGCCAAGTCTTCTGGACTGATATAAATCCACTGCTAATAATTAAGGAACTATCAGCGAGGCTGCAAAACATCTTATAGTTCTCCTTGAGCCGTCTGTGAGGACAGGGGGCTGATCTAAAAGTTGAAGGCAGCAAACCTTGTCATGTAAAATAAGGGAGTCCACAGGGTGTCATCAGGCAGCTTCACGCAAAACGATGAAAGTCCTAGTAGAGTGTTCTATACAACAGTTTTGAGAAGAAAATTACATCTTCCAGAGTCTCAAACAAAGTTTTCTGAGAAGACGTTTGTGTTTTTTAAATCTGGCAACTCATCTGGAAGCCTGGGCCAGGGCTTAAGAAGAGGGTCCTGGGATCGATATCGTATATATCGATTTCCGCAGAACACTGGCCACCGCGCCATACCAACGCTTTCTTCATAAATTTAGCGCCCTCGGCATTTGAACTGGCTAAGGGCGTTTCTAGTTGGTAGAAAACAGCGTGTCCGTATCGCAGACGATATGTCAGACTGGGTAGACCTGGCAAGTGGTGTGCCTTAAGGCTCAGTTCTCGGACACTTGCTTTCGTCCTTTATGCACAGTAAGTGACAGATCTCATGAAATGTTGGCGGAAATTCTGAGATGCGTTTTTGATCAGTAAGTATTATTTAGGTGAGGTTGAACTGATCACTATCATGCGGCATAACTCTACAATATTTCTGACTTGCCGGGATGTCAGCTTTCGAACGCACTGCTTTGCAGACCCCCCATAATAAA